CCCCAAAACCCCAAAACCCCAAAACCCCAGAGAGCCTTTTTAGTGTTGAACTGGAATTTAGATGTTGGTATTCATAACAACAGCTTTGCTGTAAGGTCCAGGAGGGGATCTGGAGGTGGGCTTCTTTTGAGTGAGTCTTTTAGGAGGAGCTGTTCTTGATGGACGTGGCATAGAGGCTATTATAGTCATCTTAATGTGGAATGGAATGTCATGACCTACTTATTTTTTGTCCCCTTTTGGTGCATAGCTTGTTCGTCTTTGGAGGTACTCCTTTTGCTTGGTTACTGATCATGTGGCTATTGGAGACTACATAGTTGAATAATTGGATAATTAGGGAAGAAGGCTTACCATGAGATCGTGAGTTAGGGATTCCTGGTGTAAAGGACGGTGTCTCTGGTGTCTATAAGTGAGGCTTAGGTATAGTCAGAGAGAATTTGAGGGATAAGAGATTGGTGCAGATGTAGGGTTAGAGTTTAATATAAGTATTTTGGGAGGTTTAGGACTCAGAAATGAGAAAAATGATTTATAGAAGACATGCTCATGGTTCATATGAGAATTTAACAAATTGAGTAAATTGGAAAATATGATGTATTTTTGTTAATGAAACTGATTGTTTGTTTCATTCCAATTTTCTCGAACCATCAGGTGGATTAAAAATATGATAAATAGGATAAATTTTACAGTTCTTGGATTAGGTAAAGAGTAAGCAAGTCTAGTATTTTTTAATCTTTTAATGAACGATGAATATAAATGGAAGATTCTCTTATTTAATAATACTGATTGACTTCTTTCGGATAAGCCTTCTATTAGTTCTTACAAAAAGGTAGATCAAAGATGGTAGAATGTTGCTCAATAAAATGAATATTCCAACCCCTCAGGTTAATAGCTTTGTAATTAATTTAGCGATGTATTTAAGAATCAGAACGGCACTATCTCAGAGGTTTGAAGATGCCAGATTCTACTTTCACCCTCGAAGTGCAAAAATATTAGATTCTTGGTTGTTAAGAAGGAAAAAGTGAATTCTCTCTATTTATTTTACATTTTTGTACTACTCTTCGGTGGTTGGTTCGAAAATGAATATTTTTGTGTTTTAATTAAGAATATCTATTCGAGTAATATTAATTTGTAAATTATTTTGATTCTAAATCTTTTAAATACTTTCAAAGAGCCACGAAATTAGAAACAATTACTAAGAGATAACAAGAATCACATCGATAAGTTGTAAGTGAAGCTAGGAAGGAAGGTAGTGATATTTTTTTACAACACTAGATGACTTTCAACACTAATTAATACCAGATCTAGAAGTCAACTATTAGCTTTTTCCCTCTAAAAGCTACCCATGCCACCCAGAAATCAGTGTAAATCTTACGATTTCTCTATTTCCAGTCTTATCCGGCACGAAATTTTGAGTCTTGGTTAACTTAGGCTTGACCTTCTCTGAATCCTGCAGTAATTCGTATTTGACATGAATGAAGAACATGATTATGGACACCACATAGTTTGTCAACACCATTATAATGATGAGAGCAACTCAGATCGATCCAGAGATATGAGGGAGCCCTTCAGTCGATAATTCACTTGATTCAGAGTTAAAATTAAGGTACAGGATTATGATCGTTAGCAGGAATAATTCAAACAATATATCCTGGAAGTTCAGTAATTTGCTCTGGAATGGTCTGATTATAATCTTCCAGAGGAGCACAAGCAAACAGATTGCGATGAAAATACATACTTGTTGGAACCCAAACTTCCATCTAAAGATTAGCAGTAATGAAAGAGCAAGTCTTCTGATAATGAACAGGAAATGATCCATCATGACAAGTTTCCTGTTCATTTTCAAATCCTTGAAAAAGATATTAAAACTTCCTTTTAATTTCTGGTACCTTGTTACTTTTCAGCATCAGAAGATGACCAGAATGATTATTGGGACAATCAGGAAAATGAGAAGAAAGAAAGCGGAAAGAGCTTGCGAAGAATAGTCTAGATTACTCTCAAGTCTCATGTCGTATAGGTTATAAATGCTGGCAAAAGAGAGAGGGAGGTATACCTCAAAGGTAACTCTGAGTATAGAATTGAAGAACAAATCATTTTTGGACTGGTTCACTCTAGAACTAAAATGAGCAGTCATTCTTCTTCAGCATCCATCTTCCTTGCTTGAATGCCTATAAATCAGAAATAAGACCTTACCTTTTGCATCCACACAAGCTGCAAATTAATGATATTCAGAGATAAAATATGTTTAGGAGAATAAATAGAAGCAAAGTAATAAATATGTCTGAGCAGTTCAAAAATATATTAGTGGACCCAATGTCTTGGTTCCGAAATCTGTAGTCGAATGGATCTCTTCCCTCAATCTCGGATACATCAATCAATTTGAAGAATAAGTCAGAGAATATCCCAATCTCAAAATTAGAAAAGCCGATGTAGCTATAGAAAGTGATGATTATTTTGGGAAAATAGAGCGTCATCATTGCTGAGTACTGAATAATTTGGCTGATATTAATTAACATCCACATGGAAGATAGGCTGTGCCCAAATACAAATGAAAGTAAAACTTGAGAGCCCAGATCTAAACAGATTAATAAGCAGTATCTTACCCAAAATGATCAACAAAGAAACTGTTTGGCCTATTATCTGCAAAACTCGATCTGGTCCTATTATATCTTTCTTACAGTTAGAAGGCAATCCAGTTCATTTATAGTATTGTTCAACTTTGCATTCATCATTTCAACCATCCTCTACAAGAGTGTTTGCATCATCTCAGGTTTCTTCAGCAACGATGAGCCCATCTCCTCACACACTAACTCATTCATTCTGAGTTCCCTCGTTGTATATGTAGCCAATCTTACAGTAAACACATTCGTTCTGAATAGTATTAGGAACCCCGGTATCAAGGCAGCGAGAGCATTCGTCTTGAGGAATTGTAGAGTTGTAGACACAGATGTGCTGATCCTCTATAGTCTTTCAATCAGCAGAGCAACCATCTCCGTCGGAAGTGTTTCCATCATCACATTTTTCTCCAGATGTTCGAATACCATCACTGCAGTATTCTGTTCAAGTGTCAGGAAATTCAGGCAAATGTCTAAAGCCAAGCTCTCAAGGAATACAAGCTTCCCTTTCAGTGTTTGGATATGCAAATATTCCTCATGATGTGCATTCATCTTTGGCAGTAGTTGAATTGTAAACACAAATATAGTTGTATTCTATTGAATGACAGTCAGATGAGCACCCATCTCCATCTACAGCATTCTTATCATCTCAAATTTCTCCAGAGGTCTGGATCCCATCACTACAAAATTCTGTTCAAGTGTTCGGATTCGAAGGGAGATGTCTAAACCCTGAATCACAAGGAATGCAAGTACTGTTTCCAGTATGTGAGATATTTGGATAGCCAAAGATTCCACAAGATAATCACACATGCTTAGGGATACTTGAATTATAGTTACAGATGTGATTGTACTCTATTGATCGGCAATCACCTGCACAGCCATCGCCACCGGAAGTATTTGCATCATCACATTGCTCACTAGGAGTAAGGATACCATCACCACATACTTCAGTGCAAGAAGTCAAATCGAATGCTTGGATTTTGTACCCAGATTGACATTTAACTTTGACTAAAGCACATTATTGATCTTGTGATTAAATTAGAAGCTACTTACTATTGCCTGATTTAATTTTAGTTGGGTAATAAAAATATCGAGATTGCACTGCAGCATAACCTCCTCCTCCGTTCCATTTGAAGTAGATATATGCATGCTTTCTATTATCTTGAAATCTAACATGGACGTTATATAGCCTATCTTTCTGCATATACATACTGAAGCTATATTCAAACGATATAAGAGATTATCCACAAACAGATTAGACTCTAGATTAACTGAAAACGGCACATTATCTTTCATAAAGAATAGTTTTAAAATTAAGCAAAAATAAATGCTCACTCTTGTGCACCATTTTAAACTATGTTCTTAAAGCCACAGATATGGTTGGAAATTACTATCCTAAAATTCTTGGGTGCGAATACCCACAGGAGAAAGCATGAAATATCTAATCCTGGTGACTACTCCTTATGAAATCACAAATAATGTCAATATAAATTAAGCTAAAATAGAGATGTGGGTAGTCCAGCTCATTCATAGCTATTGGCACTCAAAGAATTCTATCCGAATTGCATCATAATAAATGCAAGCAATGCCAAAGTGATATTATGGAAGGCCATTTTAGTCAAGTAACAAGGAAAAAGTAGTTTTGAATTATTAAATTAGGCTATCAATAATAAGGAAAAGATATTCCTGGTGACACTGGTGCACTAGACTTCATGAGTTGCGCTACTTTTAGTTTTAAAAATAGTTAGGCTTTCTTGAATATTCCTCAATTATAAATATTAGGTGGCTGGCTTTAAAATTTTATCATTATAGTAGTATTGGATCACTCAAAAGAAAGATGTCACAAAAGAAACCAAAAAGTTGATATATTCAGTTCGCAGAAGGGCAAAACTAAGCACTTTGATTTTGAGTATGAATTTAATCATCTTTGAGCTCAACACTAGTCGGATCAAGATCCATCTCAAAATATAAAGGCCTTTCCTTTATGAGAGAAGTCCAAGGGATCTTTCTTAATATTTAAAATTGAAAAATTATTCCAAATAATCATAATAAAACTGGCTCATAATTATTCGACTTTCTTATTAACTACTTTTTTTCCGCATATTTATTAGACATTATGATGGATTCATTTTATTCTATTTATATCACTTTATTTATAGTTTCATCAACAATTTTGTTTGAAAGATATTTAGAATACTCTCCACCGATTTTATTAAGATTAGAGGGATTGTTACTTCTAGTACTATTATATTGTAGTTGTGGGATGTTTCGATAAATTTGTTGTCCAACAGATACAAAAATGAGAGATTAATAAAGTATAAAAAGAGATAAATTCTTTAATTAAAAGAAAAAGTTTAATTTCCATAAAAATGCTTAATTCTATAAGTTCTATCATTACCTTCTTGTCGTAGTCTGTCCACCGCTTGTTTTTCTTGAACCATCTATCAAAATATAAAAACTAGGACTAAACCTAGCCCTCATCTCCATAAAAACCCTTCAAAAGACGCTCAAAACTAAATCTTATCATCAAAACCACTCCAAAACAACCCAAAAGCACTTACCAATATACACTGTCCCATAATCATCATATTTAACACTAAAACTGAACGTAGCTGATCTCGGTGGTTTCAGATACGACCTGTAATGAATAACCACATTATCCTTATATCCTCCCTATACAATAATTCTACATCCCCATACATAAATTGAGCCTCTTCCAAAATTAAAATTGATATTTCCCACTGTTTTCCTTCCTATAAACGAGCCTCCATTTGTATAATACTCCGCTGACACTTTCCCTTGTTCTAGAAGTAAAACTTTGTACGTGATGGTTCCTTCTTTGGTCACACTGAAGGTGTAGGAATAGGTCCCGTCCCCATTGTCGGTCATATAGTCGTTTATGTCTGAGGACAAGGTTGAAGAGGGGGGAGAGGCAGGCGAGCAGGAGAAGTCAGAGGTCCAAGTGCATTTGTTCTTGATGGTGATGTAGAATTTGTCACCGCCGGAGGTGAGATTTGTGCCAGCAGAGTTATTTAGCTTGAAGAGTGATTGTGAGGGGGTGAATGGCAATAGGGTCGTGGGGATGGAGCTGGTTATTACACTTTTGGTAGCATTTGCTGCTCAGGCTATGATAGGGATGAGATCAGCCATCAACCTGGTCTTACCGGATAGCTTTATTAACGATAATAAGAGTATGGCTATTATCATCTGAGCATTCTTAAACAGTGTTGTACCTAGACACAATAATGAGATCTGAGGAAATTCTGACAAAGTAGCAAAAATTGCACATTATTTAAAATTCCAGATTATCTTCTTAGAAATTTTCTCTTTGGAATTGAAAATTTTTAAACCTCAAGCAAGTCATGCGAAATTGACACTTTACTACGCCCCAGAAAGTGTAGAATAAGTCTTTCAAACATAACTTCCAGAGTTCATGATTTAGGCTACTGATAAAATTCGAAACATTCTGGAAACTTAATGATAACTACTAATAAATTCTCTAAAATCTATTAATAATCATAAAAACTCAAATTATTAAAGAATTATGAAATTGAGGTAAATGGAAGAGACAAAAATACGACTGAAGAATCTGAACCCCAAGTGTCTGAAATTATCAGAAACTAGCAGCTAAATAATGTGGCAATGCCTCTAGCATAAAAAGCTGAATAACATAATCTAGGCTTATCCCTCATTATGTATAAAAAGAGATTTGTGCACTCCTGCATAAAAACTTAGGATGAGTATTTAGGAGATTCCTAAAATAAAATTGGCCAGAACAGCTTTGGATTTCTAAAAAATTGGAGACTGATTAAGAACAAAAGGATTAATAAAAACAAAAGTTCAGACAAGATTCTGAAATTAAGCTATTTAACTAACTTTTATGCTAATTTCTTTCTTTTTATAAAGTAAGAAGTTTTAGGATAAGAAAAATTGATCAATGAAAAAGTAAACTAGATATAGATGTTTTATGAGTGACAGCTTTGATAATACCAAAATTCGTATAAGATCCTACCTATTTAGTTTATATAAGTAAGCAAGCTCATTCAGCTTTAACTGGCTTAACTACGACAAGACATGGTAAAATTTGATTGAACTGATTACGATAAAATTCACAATAAGTTATTATCTTCTTTTTACCTATCTTTTGACCTTTGCAAGCTTTGAAATTTCTTCTCTTTTTAAAATATCCACACCATGAGCTCTCTTGAGCTTTTAAAGAAGCATCATCTTGATCATCTCAGCTCTCATAGTCTACCTGAATTTGCCTGGTCTGCACTAAATATTTTGGGAATGGTTCCACTATATTATTGTTTTTCTTCTCTCAGAATAAATTTCTTAAACCATTAAAATCAGGAAGTATCCTTTTGGTTTCTGACAGACCTATTGTCCTTCCTTTTTGCTCAATTAACTTCTCAGAGTTTATCTTTCTTCTTAAAACTTGCTGTATATCTCATTGACCTTCTCCTTCCTGATGTCTATATTAAAGCTAAGCTTCCAAGTCTAGAAGGCATAGAGGAGGTTCACAAAGTGATATAATAAAGCACAGATTTTTAACGCAGAATGTACGAGCACAAGTGACCTTATTAGGATGGCAGAGTTACAGCTGCTGTGGGACTTGTGAAGAGATTATGGTACAAATTGAGGGCGAGCTTGTAGGTTAGAATAGAGGGATGAAGGATATGGAGGAAGGTTGGGTAGCAAGGAGACTGGAGGAGATGGAAGGAAAGGGGTATACCATCCCTTCCAACCTGCCCATCCACCTCATTCCCGACCACCTATCTCCAAACCTCCTCATCCTCCAGTTTCCCTCTAGCCTCTTCTTCCCTAAACCCACCAAGACTCTGAGCTTCATAAAGCAGAATTTGATATTCAGCATGAATAAACTGAAGTTAGCCAAAACCTTAAGTATGAACTGAAGAAGGAAACAGAGGGCACTGAAGGAGAAGAAGGGGTTTGAGAGGAAGATAATTGGGAGCGATTTGAAGGCTTACTTGAGTGGATTTTGAGCAATTTGTGGACATTTTTATATAGTATTGTTTTGAAGCTTATGTGGGGTTTTGGGGTTTTGGGGTTTTGGGG